GCCTACCCCCCTGCCTCGGTAGCCGGAGCTCCTCAGGCCTGGGCAGTACCGCTTCCCGCAGCGACCTGCCTGGGGCAGCTGGTGGGCTGAGGTTTGTGCCATTAATCTCTCCGGTAATTACAAACCTTCTTTTTGCCATTATGGTATGGCAGGTGCAAGAGAGATGTTTAGGTGTCTGGGAGCGCTGCTATTTGGCCTTACCCATCGGAAGCCAACAAGATGTTGAACACGGGTTTCAGGAATTGACAAAAATCTCTGTGTAAATATATGATGAATAAGCAGGCTGCTGTCGGGTAGCTGTAAAGGAAATGAGAGACAGTCTGACAATTCTCAGATTAGTTTGACACGTTTTTGACACTTCTAAGCGTAGTGGGATGTGGAGAGTAAACTTAGAAGCATTTTTCTGCAAAAGCATATTTAGAGTGGTATAGTGAAAGACGGAAGGCAGTGTTACTTCAAAGAGCTTTCTTCATGAGGGTAATTCAGCTAGGAGTTGAGTTAGAAGCCCTCGTGGTGTTTGTAACACTTTAACCAATTCACATTAAAAACCCAGCGTTGCATAGTCCGGGTTTTAGGAAGAAAAGGAAGGGGAAAACGGCCTGAGAGTATCAACCCAGTGCCTGAGCTAGAGTAATGTCATGGGGAGATGTCACTTCTTTTAAAGGCAGGATTTTTGTGGTTTGCTTTCCTAGGTGGCTCAACGAAGCCCAGCCTTATCAGGTTCATTCTGAACCTGCTCACCAGCCAGAGTGGACAGACTTTTAATACCAGATATCCTAGATTTAGCCTGTTGTAACTCAGAGCAGAATTTGGTCTCCTACACACAGGATCAGTAGATTTGCCCCACTAAATGCTTTAAAATATGATGCAAGGAAAGATTGTGATCAGGCGGGTTATGTCTCCATAACCTGAATTAGACTATAATTGCATATCTCGGTGGATGATGGTGCTGAGGTCAGTGAAAGCATGTACTGAATCAATTAATTTGTGACAGCTGAAATTTTCCCCAGCTCAGCCTTTGGATTTCATTCAAAACTTTCGTTAAAGAAATAACAGTGTTAATTTGCTGCATGCTTTATTTGAAGTATTTTAGAAACCTGGAACCAAGTCTTGGATTTTTTTATTTGCCTAAAACTCCAGCTGACTTCAGTGGGAGCGTTACCCAAGAAGGGAGTTCAAGTGTGAGCCTTTTATGTGGTTAAATAGATAATTGATATGGGTGCAGTTACACCACTTGTTTTTAATATAAATAGCAGTGTGCATGAGGCAGAGAGAGGTGGGTGGTATAGTAATGGCATTTAGAACTGTTTTAATAAATATTTAGTTTAGGATTAGGTTGAGTGTAATTGCTATTAGCATATGCAGTACATTATTATCAGGTGTGTATTTACTGGGGAGGTGAAAGAGGCATTGGCCATCACACAGAGCTGGCCATGATGGCTGCTGCAGATATGGAGGCTCCATCTTCTCATCTTCCTGGCTAGCTCGGGATTGCGTCCATCCTTAGTTACTGCATGAATGTTTTCTCACTGAATCATGCCTGAGATTCAGCCTTTAAAGCCAAAGTCGACGATCAATATCTTGTGAAAGAGGAAGCTAAGTGATTCCTCAGCCTTATGGTGGTAATCATATGCATTTAAAGGGTAGTGGCTAAATTCCTGGAATTAAAATGGAAGTCTAATGATGGGCTATTCCTATTAAGAAATAAAATGTAGCTTTAGAAAAGGCTGCGTATGACTCCATTAGTATGTTTCAGATTGATTGATAAAGATTTTAGTAGCACTTTTTTCCCAGCTATTAGGTGTGGTATAAGGGAGTGATTTCAAAGCTCTTTGGTGTATAAGGCAGTGATAGTATCACTTAAATAAATCACACAGTTTAGCTTGTTTATCTTCCTTATTCTTTTTTAAGGCTGTACAGGGAAATGTGACTTTTTGGTTCTTCCTTAGAACTAATCTGATTTCTAATTTTACTGTAATGAAATTTTAATTTATTTTACTTTTATTCTGTACAAATAGAATGGAAAAGATATAACACAGTAGAAACACTATCTGAAACATATATGTGATTAATCAATTGTGTTTGCTTCTTCTAGGGAAAATCCAGAACGTACCTTTGATTTGGTACTGAAAGTAAAATGCGAAGCATCTGAAAATGAAGGTAATACACTGTGCCTATTGAGATTTATTTATAGAAATGAGAGGTGGAAAAAAAATAGTTTGCATCCTGATCTAGTGTCATTTTATGTTTTGAATTGCTGTGGATTGGGATTGTATTAGAAAGTGACTATGGTTATTTTATTGCCTTTTAAAATCTATTAATGTGTTAATTCATAGTTGTCGTGGGGTTTTATTGTTATGTTTTCATTTTGGCTATTGTAAAAATATTTTTGTTCTGAGAGAAATACTTGCACAGCTTGATTTGAAACGCATCCTCTACAGTTCTTAAGTCTTAAAATGTTGATTTTGTGTAAGATTTCATTTTAGCAGAACAATTGACTTCTGTCTCTCAGTGGAATGTTAATTTTGATCAGTGTGATAGGGAGAAAGTAAGTTCTTTTCAGAAAAAGACTTTCTTTTTAGCTGATGTTTGGCTGCTGCTTTGGTTTGATACATGATACAAACAGCAATGAGTGCTGACTTGAGCTTATATTAGCCACATTTTTTAAATTTCAGCCAGCATTTCTTTAAGTGGTGTCATGGGTATGTGCCTAATAGGTTTACTGAAAACATTTTTGTTGAAGCTAAACAATTGTAGTTCTTTAGGTCTTTTCCTGATAATCCCTGTAATTAATAATGTACCTGTTGTATTATATATTATCCATTATGATATCTCAAGTTCCTCTGCTTTTTTTTTTTTTTTTTTTTTTTTTACTTTTCTTTTTTTTCCTCTTCATAAGATTGTTCATTTAGTTGTGGAATGACGTCTTGGTCCTGGTGCCATCCTTGGGTATGTTCACTTTTTTTGTGACCAGCCAGTGTCCTTCGGTTTATTGCCTGTTTTTTTGATTTGCTGTTGGTACAATCATGGTTTGGGCAATCAGATGGGCTTTCCTAACTCTCTGATCATTGTTGTGGTTTGTATCATGGCACATTTTACCTTCTGTTCTCTCCCTTTTGCAGTTTTTACCTTAGTAATTTTGTAGATGATGTCTATGAACCCTGCTTAGCTACTTGACTTCTGATCTGTTCCTCCTTGCATTGTGCATTTAGTTTCTGCCTTCACCTGACATCCCTTCCTGGGGGCCCGTTCGCATCTCGGCTTAGGCCCAGCTTCAACCAGCAGATTTTATGCTCTTTCTTCCTTTCCCTCCTGAGAGCTAGACTGTTGATAATCCTTTCAGGTCTTCATCTTGAAATCTTGAAAAATGTGGGTTTTTTTCTTCTGTGAGCAGAACATAGATCTATATCCTTTTAATTCCTTTTATCTCCCTTTTGACTTCTGATTTTTGTTTTGCATCTTTCTGCCTCTGCTGCCATAAGAAACCACTTCTCGTTAAGGGCAGCTGTGTGAATGACCACCTACGCCTGATTCTGGTCGTAGTCACTTCCCCTGCCTCCCTCGGTGGGCATTTCGTGCTGTTCGTCAGTTGTCCTCTGTGGAGAGTAGCGTCTTTAAGAAATCTGTGTATCTCCTTGAACTGTGACCTGAGTTAATGTGGAGACTGTATTTGTGACTGTATTGTGGGTGCACCCTCTTCTATTCTGCTTTTTGCTATCATCCATTCTACCCCGTGTGGCCTCAGTTGCTCTTTGTCTATGGGGTGGCCAAAGACAGAAGGGAGGTCTGATTCCGGTAGCGTTGGAGTCTGCGGCGTGTGACTGGCGAGGGTTCTCGGGGTGTTTCAGCTGGCCTGGAGGTTGTGTTGATTCTTGCATGAGTCCGCAGATCAGCACAAAAGTACAGTCCCGTTTTACCAATCAAGATGTGCTGGCTGAATATTCCGGTTACCATCCTGCTGTACTTTGTGACCCATCTGGGATTCGTTTTAATTTCTTTCATATTCTGTCTAATTTGGATAACAAACTCACTCCAGTGAGGGCCTGACATCATATTTACATATGGTATTATGAGCACAGTGATGTATCAAATTAATATATCTGAATGTTAAAGTTATTTAAAGGAAATTCACAAGGGACAAAAGTGTATTGTCTTCACTGCCACTTTAGAAATGGAGCACAAGGCTTGTCATGCTAAACAGGGAGCTTTCAAGGTTGGTTTATTATAAGGCCTAACAAATTTGACAGTTACCCTGTATTGTAGGTCTTGCCTTTAAATAGATTTTCATGCTAGGATAATCTTTTGAATATATCATACTTGAAAACGTGATCCATTCACCTGTTTCTTTGCTCATGCCTCTTTCTTTCTTATGAAAGAGATTTGTGTTTAAATAGGGGCTTTCTCCCTCGCATCCCATCTGCTCCTTTTACTTGATCCTGAAGCTATGTCAGGGCTGAATTTGTGACATCACTGTCACCAGTGTTGCCGTGGAAATATCACAGCCACAAAATTATGATCTCCCTGCATGAGTGAGCAGCAGAAGAAGCCGACTTAGGAGAGAGGAGGACCTTAATGTGACCCATGTACCTTTAAACTTTTTCTTTTCAAGCTTTGCTGTAGCGTGCATTCTCCTGCATTTTAATTTCCCTGTGCCAGCATGTAACTGTTCTAACAAATAAAAATTGAGGTAGCCCTACTGCATGTGTTGCTATTAGTAAGATGATGTTTTTACGAGGACGCTATATGCCTGCAGCAGTGTGACATGATGAAAAATTTTGCTGTTAAAATTATTATGCTTTTGGAAAAGTATTTTTAGATAGCTTCTTAATTATAGCATAGCTCTCAAGGAATGTTACTTTTTTGGGTCTGACAATGTCCTAGGGCTCTTCCAGCTATAAAAGGTCATACATACATGAAATGCAGCAAGGTTTATATGTATTATGAAATTTGTTCTTAAATCATTCCACTAATTATTTCGAATGTTGTTTTCTACTCAATGTAAACACCTAAAAGGTTTCATGTAGGTTAGTACAAATTTATCACCCGGCACTGTAAGATGTGCTTGAGCCTTAGAAATTGGCTAACCAAAGCAGTCTGCAGCTTTTTTTTTTCTTCTTCTCTTTTCTGTCCGGGTCCTTCTATCATGAAAAGTAAACTGAATTTCTGGAAAGTTGATGTTTCTGAACTCTTCCACAGGACGTCCAAAATAATAGTGCCAATGTAATCTTCGTGAAGAGTGTATATTTATCTATGCATACACAAACATATACAGTATGTGCATACACATATATATGTCTGAACTTTAGATTTTGGTTAAATGTGCAAAAATAAAATTGGTAATTTAACTCATTCTGTAAACTGTGTGTCCTATATTGATTTTATTAAAACTGGATTGCAGAGGCCAGACACAGAAGGTGATGCAAATATAGCAGCTAGCAGTAGAAAGGCAATGTGCAACAACTTCTGTGAACACAAGGTCTTCAGCATTTCTGTCCACGGTTTCCCGAGAAGAAGATGACTAAGATTGGTTTCAGTTTGTGGTGGTTAAGAGAGTGCTGTTTGCTACACCTTCATTTTCTTTGATTATAGCACATACGAAAAGCAACAAAAAGGCTGCACGGAGTGCAGGTAGATCCAGGAAATGCAGCCACTGAATGTCGTGGTTTGGGTCTAGGACTGCTTTAGTCCTGACTGTCCAAATTTTACTTGAAAACCCCTTTGAAATAGCCATTCATTTTGTGTTCAAGCAAAGAAAATTGTTTGAACAAGGCTTGAAGTTTTACTGCTTTGTCTCTATTTCCTCTTTAAATGCTAGGAAGCCTTCTATAGCTCTAGGGCTAGATATGTGATTTTCAGAGAAGGTGTTTAATAGGTTGTGTTGAATTGCTTGAATAACTCCTGTAGTTTATCTTGCCTGTGCCAGAATGATAATGAATCTTAGTGATGCATGATCTCTAAATTATTTTTCTTTAAAGGGTCTTCTTTTCATTAAATTTTCAAGGAAAAGCCATGAAAACCAGTTTAATTGTGTATTGGTGGAGTTAAGATCTGTATGAATTAAGTCCAGGAATTAGGCCAGAAATGCAAAATTCTTAGTATGAGGTTTGATTGTGGTTTGTAAGGTACTAAAAAGATATGTAGTTCCAGGAAGGTTCCAATTCTGAAAAAAGTTTAATGCAGTTGGTAGTTCTGTCCATGGGTAACCTGTCTAGCTTTGGTAGGGTTTTGATTAAGAGTCTTCCAAAGCTGCTTTCAGGATTGTGGTCAGAGCAAGCGCTACTTTTTCTTTTTTTTTTTTTTTCCTTCACTGTAGAGAGCTGTTTATTAACCACAGACTCTGAGCCTCTGGGTGTAACGTGCTGATCAGATAACTCTTTTCCTCTGAGGTGCTTTTTTTTGCAGAGCATCACTTGAACCTGATTAAAAAAGATAATTCTATCAGTGTAATACATGAAGAAGTCTGCAGGATTTTTTTTAAGAGCAATTAAAACTTTTGATGTAATCTTTACGTACTGCCAACTTTTTTCACTGTTGGTTTTAACTGGAAAGATACTAAATAAGTACTGGCCTACAGAAAGTTAGGTTTCTCTAACTTTTTAAAGCATGCTGTGTTCTTCAGGTGACTATGAAGAGGAACTATATATTGCTGTGAACTAGATAAGCTTTCTTAGAAATCTTATATTTATTTGTAGATTTTTAGTCTCAAAATCTGTGTTACCATATTAGAATTTATTTTACACCAATATAAAGTTAAAGATGCTTTTTCGCTTTGTACAATGCCATTTCAGAGCATGGGCCATCTGATTATAGTCTTAGATGCAGTTTTTGTAAATAAAAATAAAGCTTTCTGTCCATACTTCTCTGAAGTTTTATTACGCTTAACTAATATCCCGCCCCAACTCATTAACTCATATGTTGTTATTTAGGTTAGTGGTACTTCTCTGTAATGGTTTCTTGTTTTTCCTGTTGAAATTTTCAAATGGTGGTACCTAAAAAGCTTGGAAGAGGACATTTAATCTAGCCTGGTTTCTCTACAGAATTATCAGTTGATTAGGAGCACAATATTTGACAGTCCTTTGTTGAGGATTATATAAATGTTTTGAGGGCAAAAGCGGGTAGTGCCGGAGATTGTGCATCACTTTCATCCTTTTTGACAAAAC